TGGGTTATCCTGGGTGGCTAACCCTCCGGGGTTAAAAATCCGAACGAAATCTTATCTTATCAACATCAGAACTGTATAATTCGCCCCAATTTTCGCACTTCTTCTTTAGGTCGTTACTATCGGCGTCGTAACACAGTCCCTCGACATCGAGAAGGAACCCAAACTTGGCATCAGTGTCGTACGAACGAGAAAATCTTTCATCCATTTCTATGTGAAGACGGTTGAGTGTTGCCTTCATGACTTTCCATTTTCTCCCTTGGCTGTTAACCCAGCGTTTCTCCAGTTCTCATCAGCTATTCGTTTCTTTCGTCTCTGACGTCTTTCATCTTCAATGTTCCATTCTTGACAGAGACCAAGTCCTTCTTTTTTTCAATTCAATTCAATTCAATTCAAAGTTTATTCTCTATAAGGATTATAATGCTGAGTTCACAGAATTTGGTTATTGTGTGGTTAGGTTAGGTAAGGTTCGTCAGGAAACAGGACAAATGTTTCCTGACGCGGGTCTTAGTCAGATGATGACCCGCCTTTGGAGCTTTTGGTCATCTGACCGAGGCCTTCCGCTGGCTTACCTGTCCACTCCTTTAAAAATTATGGTCATTTATAACAATTGTTATTAATATATTGTGTGGTTTACATGTAGTAAAATAATGATTACAGAGTGTACCACTAGAACACCTAGCATGGCTAGGCATTTCGGGCAGACTTAGCTTAATTCTTAATTTTAAAATATTACAAATTATGAGGTAAGTTGGTATTATGGCTAAGTGACTAAATACTTGTTTGTGAGTTTAGCAATGTGAATGCTTTTGTTTTCGCACAGTACATAGTTTCAGTATTGGAGTATCACAGGATTCATTATTTTAAGATTGAGATTAATATTTCTGTTTATGGTCAAATGGGTGAGTGTAAGTGTGAACCACCAGGTGGTATTTGTGTAGTTAGTTGACGGGGTGTATCAGGGAGATAAGATGTTTTCTAATGGTAGTTTTGAAGGTGATGAATGTGTCTGCAGTTCTAGAGTTCTCAGGTAGGGTGTTCCAGATTTTAGGGCCTTTGACATACATTGAATTTTTGTAAAGGTTTAGTCGGACATGGGGAATGTCATAGAGATGTTTGTGTCTGGTGTTATGCCTGTGGGTTCTGTCACAACTATCAAGAAAGCGTTTTAGGTCAAGGTTGATATTGGGGTTTAAGGTCCTGTAGATGTAGATTGCACAGTAGTAAGTGTGGATGTACTGAACAGGGAGTAAGTTTAGATCTATGAAGAGTGGGGGAGGGGGGTTGCCAGGGATGGGATTTAGTGATTATTCTTACTGCAGCTTTTTGTTGGATTATTGGCTTTAGGTGTGTTGCTGCAGTTGATCCCCAAGCACAAATAGCATAGGTGAGGTATGGATAAATAAGTGAGTGGTATAGTGTGAGAAGGGCATTTTGCGGCACGTAGTATCGTATATTGGAGAGGATCCCAACCGTTTTGGATACTTTTTTGGTTATGTGTTGAATATGGGTGCTGAAATTCAGGTTGTTGTCAAGGTATAGGCCTAGGAATTTGCCCTCATTATGTCTGGTAATTAGAGTGTTGTCGATCTTAATGTTAATTTGTGCATCTCCTGCTCTGCTACCAAACATAATATAGTAGGTTTTGTCAATGTTAAGCGTAAGTTTATTGGCTGTCATCCAAGTCGATATTTTGATCAGCTCCTCGTTAACAATGGTGTTGAGGGTGGCAAGATTAGGGTGAGAGATGACATATGTCGTGTCGTCAGCAAAGAGAATGGGTTTCAGGCGTTGGGATACGTTTGGAAGATCATTGATGTATATGAGGAAGAGCAGGGGACCAAGGACACTTCCCTGCGGAACTCCAGTATCAAGTGGCCGTGTTGTTGATGCTGTGTCTTTAATGGTGACATACTGATACCTATTAGTAAGGTAAGATTTGAAATAAGCAAGCGCATGGCCTCTTATACCGTAATGGTCAAGTTTGTGGAGTAGGATGCCGTGGTCTACTGTGTCAAAAGCTTTTCTTAGGTCAATAAAAATTCCTAGTGGATATTCCTTATTTTCCAATGCTGTGTAAAGCAGATCTAGCATTTTTATGATTGCATCATTAGTGCTTTTATTTTTCCTGAATCCAAATTGGCAGGGGTTGAGTATGTTTTGTGCCGTTATATATGAATATAGTCTCCTGTGCACGAGTTTCTCAAAGATTTTGGATAGCAATGGTAAGTTTGATATTGGCCTATAGTTGTTTAAGTCTGTAGGGTCACCACCTTTATGTATTGGTGTAACCCTTGCCATCTTGAGTAGTTTCGGGAAGGTGCTAGTTTCTAGTGACTTGTTAAAAAGTAATGAAATAGCATGCGAAAGGACATGGGCCGCTCTCTTGTACAGTAATGGTGGGACATGAGACAGATTCCCTGAGTTATTTTTAAGTGACTTTATAATCTCGGTGACTTCCGTGGGCTCAGTTGGCGACTCACTGACTAACGCTTCTCTTTCATCATGAGCTGTATAGTCCTTGTGGCTTAGCGCTTCTTTTTTGATTATAATAATAATAATCTTTCATCATGAAAATGATCTCGGAGGCTTTCAAATCCAGGGCAGCATCGTGGAAGTTCATGCTAGGATCCTGCAGCCTCTTTTGATTATTATTATAATAAAAAAAGAAGCGCTAAGCCACAAGGGCTATACAGCGCTGCAGCCCCTTTGAATACGGTCAGTGCGAATGAGTTCCAAAATCCTAGCAAAGTCAGAAAATCGTAACTTAACATGTGGTTATACAGCTGCCTTGTTCCACTTCTTGTTTCACTGGTCTCGTTTTCATTATCTATCATGTCCTGGAGAACTTGAAGGTATTGTTAAAGGGCCTCACTGCTTCTGTTCTTGCACCCCACCATCCGACTTTAACAACCACAGGCACAGCGTTTTTTCAGTTTTTCTCAGCGCTGTGTTGAACGAGAGAAGAACATGTAGAGCTTCGATGTTGTATACAGACGACTGTGCTCTGTTAGTGTCAGGTAAAGACCTACAAGATATAACTAATATACTATCACTAGAACTAGAGTAATGCAGCAAATAGTTAGTAGACATCAAATTATCGTTACACCATGGGAAAACAGAAGTTATACTCTTTGGCACGAAAATGATAAACTGAAAAGGGTAAATAATTTTAAAGTCCGGTGTAATGGGGAACCCATCACTTCAGTAACTTCCGTGAAATACGTATCTGGGAATCCCCTTTGACCAAAGCATGTCAGGAGAATTGATGAAGAACAGAGTAGTAAAAAGAAAGCAAGTGCCAGACAAAAGTTCCTCTACAGACAGGCACAGTGTCTACCTACTGAGGTTCGCAGGACCCTATGTCTAGCTCTTAAACAATGCTATAGAGATCACACTTGCTTTTCATAGTACTCTGCCTTAACAAAAAAAAAAAAATTACAAATCACCCAGAACAAAATGGTGAGATTCATCCTGGACTTGGGTCCAAGAGAGCATGTAGTCCAGGATGAATTACAGCAGCTGGAAATGCTGAATGTTGAAGACAGTAAAACAACTGAAGTTAAATCACGTTTATAAAATTCCTCATTAGAGTCCAGAATATCTTGCTGCCAAGTTTTATACTATATATATATATATATATATATATATATATATATATATTATATATAATATATATATATATATATATATATATATTATATATATATATATATATATATATATATATATATAAAATATATATATATATATATATATATATATATATATATATGTATTATGTCTGTCTGTACAAGATACGCTCTCAATAAAATATAAAAAAAAATATTAGGGGAAGGAAACACAATTTTATAGTACGAACAGTAAATGGTCAGGCTTTAAACAACTTTTATTGTACAGCAATGAAGGAGTGGAACGAACTGTCTGCACATGTCAAAGACTGTCACAGCATGAGCCAGTTCAGAGAGCTAAAAGGTACCTAATGTATTAAGCTACAGAAAGGGAAGAGAGAGTGATTTCTTGTATAGCTAACATACATGTACCTACAACTATAATCTGATCCTCATGTTATTGTAAATAACTCAGTTTACCTTATTCCTAGTATATCTCCTTTGATTGTAATTGCTTTTCACACAGTTGAGTTGCTTAGCCGTTTTAACTCTTAAGGTTTAAACATTAAGATATTACAATGACCCCAGTGGAAATAAACTTACTTAAGTCACTTTATCTGACTTTTTTTCGGTTATCCTTGGTGATCTACACATATGCACATATGGTAATTTATGTACCTGTATTTATGTGTACCTGTACCTAAATAAACTTACACCCGAGGACAGGTCTCACACCAGGCCTCGTGAGTGGAGACAACATTAATTACATGAATAAGAACTGTTGAGAAATGAATATGAAGGAAAAATATATTGTGTGCATGAGTAGAGGCTTGTTAAGTTTACCTGCTGTCTTATGCTTACGAGTGCATGTGTGTGTACTCACCTAATTGTGGTTCCAGGGGTCAAGTTATAGCTCCTGGCCCCGTCTCTTCACTGGTCGCTACTAGGTCCTCCCCCTGCTCTATGAGCTTTATCATTCCTCTTGTGTGTCAGTGGTTAGGTTAGGTAAGGTTTGTCAGGACAAGTGTTTCCTGACACGGGTCTTAGTCAGATGATGACCCGCCTTTGGAGCTTTGGTCATCTGACCGAGGCCTTCTGCTGGCTTACCGGTCCACCCCTTTAAAAATTATGGTCAGTTATAACTATTTTAATTGTCTTCACATCTCGTCTACCAACTTTTCTGGACTCGACTGAAGAAGCCTACTGTGTAGGCGAAACGTTTCGAAATAAAGATACCTAATCGTTGCAAATGTGTCTTACCTAACAACCTATCGGTATTTTTTACCATTTTAATATTCACTAAATGTACTTATGTACACCTGTACCTAAGTAAACGTACTTAATGGTTGGTGGGGGGGACTTAGGTGTATAATTAAGGGGAGGAACATTCAAACCTTGGCGGGGAGCACCAGCGGTGCCATCTACAGAGAACTTGTGTGTTTGTGGTACGTCAGGAGTACCTACTGGCGAGCACTGGAGCACCACCTGCACTGTTCCCTGGCTACTATGCGTCTCAATACCCGTCTGGTGCAGGTATATCCCGAGGTAGGTGACGGGGTAGACGGGTGCCAGGGGCAGGAGGCACAGGCGAGGCGCTCCTGTCGTAGGCAGGGGCGAAATATGGCCAGGGCATGACCTGTCCTTCCAGGAGGTGTATGGGGAGGGGGTCCCTGGATTGTTTTTGTTGTCACTGGAGTGAGATGGAGGGGAAGGAGGGCATGTTATGTAGATGGAGGATAATGGAGGGGTTGGGGAAGGAGTTTGGAAGGGTAATGGAGGGGGTTTACCTTAGGAGGATTAGGGAGGGAGGGGTGAAATCCACGCCGTCAGGAGGGATTTTTGAGGGGGGGGGGGAGACTTCCATGCCGTCAGGAGGGGCATCCGAGAAGGAATGGAAGAAAGTTGAGGGGTCGTCCAAGCAGAATGGAGGGTGATAGAAGGGGTCGTCCGTGTGACATTAAGGATGGTAGGGTCATCCATCCAATCAAAAGGATAATGAGATAATTCAAGCTTGTAATTAATATCCTATAATATGTAAACCACACATTGTAAGCTTTGCAGGGAAATACAATTTTCATTTCAATTTTCAAGGAAGGTGGACGGGGTCATCCAGGCAATCAGGAGCATGATGGAGGGGTCATCCACACAGGAGGGTGATGGAGGATCTGGCATATGCCAAAAGGATGATGTAGTTGTCATTCATGCATAACGATGATGAGACCATTCAGGGGTGATTGGAGTTGTGAATTCAGGATAGTGATGGAGGGTCAAGACCTGTTCGGAGTTTTTATACCCAGTGGGTTAGCCACCCAGGATAACCCAAGAAAGTCGGTGAATCATCAAGAACTGTCTTGTTTTAATTTCCATTGTGGTCCTTCAGTCTTGTCATCCAGGATGTGATTCACAAGTCGACTAACACCCAGGTACCTATTTACTGCTAGGTGAAGAGGGGCAGCAGGTGTAAGGAAATATGCCCAACATTTCCACCTTGTCTGGTATTGAACCATGGACACTCAATGTGAGACGAGAGCATTGCCTACCAAGCCATTCTCTCATATCTGTAATTATAATAATAATCTTTATTTCTACAAGTACATATACAATGTAGTATGCAGGCCTAGCAGACATCACTTGACATATTACTATATACAAAGCCTCTTCTTATGAAGAGCATTTCAGGCAAATTAGGTCAATTACATCCCCAGGATGTGACCTGCACCAGTTGACTAATACCCAGGTACCTATTTTACTGCTAGGTGAACATGGACAGCAGATGTCTTAAGGAAACATGTCCTAATGTTTCCACCTGTACTGGGGATTGAACCATGGACCTCAGTGTGTGAGGTGAGTGCACTAGCAATTGAGCTACGGGACACCCTAGGCCAAACTATACCGTTCACAACTTATCTAAGTGAGCTGAGCTTATGACGTAGAACTACACGAGGGACCCCTGGCCCCAATAACGTTGTTCCATGTAACTGCCATGTTTGGTATGTACAGGAATTTCTAGAGTGATAGTTGAATTGTTGACCAGTTAGTAGGTTATTCCTCCAGTTTTTTACCCATTTTTCCTTAACCCTTTCACTGTTGAGACTCCTGCTCACGAACTTGCTCTGTGTTGAATTTAAAAAAAAAAAAAAAAATTTCTTATGAAATGATAGGGAATCTTTTTCTGATGGTAATGACACCAAAAGTACGAAATTTCATGGAAAACTTATCACGGTCGTGAAGTTAGCGGTCTTGGCAATATTTACGCATCGGCGATTTCGCCCACTTTGAACCCTATTTTCGGACAATTCCATTGTTCCAGTTGATCAAACTTGTAACTATTTTGCTAGAACTTCATTTGTTCTATCGATTGAGTATGAGAAACTGCCCATTTACCGATTTCAACTACCCAGTAAAGTGATCAGAAATTGGTAATTTGGCCAATTTCATACACAATTCAGGTAAGGCCATTTTCAAAATAGGATTCAGAATTAACATTGCAAACATTCCTAGCACTAAAATAGCATTTTCTCTGTTCAGTAGTCATGTCTCCAGGCCCCTCTTTTATTACACTTGCTTTCTATTTTGAATTTTTATTCACACAAAAAATAAAAGATTTCCTGTTATGCAGACTACTGCATTATTGTAAAAAGGGTATAAATAATATCAGCACATTTGTGAAAGCATATTAGGCCCACAAGTTGACGTGTATTGGACGCATGGTATGATTTGTTTACTCTTGAACATTGGAAAATCAAACATTTCTGCTATTTTGAGCTCAGTTTCAAAGTACTTTTATTCTGTAAACCATTCAACATCATCTCCATTTCTGTAATATATCTTCCATTCTATCAAATGAGACCAAGAAAATGAGAATACAACCATAAATACCATGAGAAAATATACCGCAAAGTCGGTGTTTTAATCCAAAAACATGGAGTTTTTTTTTTTTTCTAATTATGCACTGCGTGCTGCAGGATTTTTTTTTTTATACCACGCGCACTGACCACTCAGACCCATTCTCTCATATGTTGGCCTACCAGCTTTCTCTCGCAAGATCTGAAGCCTCTAGAATTTTGGCGTAATATTACGGGACCAACAGTGAAAGGGTCAGTGACTTGTTCCAGCATTTTAACAAAACTTGTCAATAAAATTGCCTATAGTTTAATGGCTACTGGTATTCATTCAGGTACATTCAAGAGGAAATTTGAGTGATCATCCACAGTTTGGCTTTTCAGATATTTCTGCTAATTCTCTCTCTTGAGTGACAGCTGAAGTGAGGATTGGAGAATTTGGCTTGTAGTGTATTGTACTGTATACACTAGTTTTTTAGTGTTTTCCCCCATTTCTTTGTTACAGACATACACAGTATGAGATGGCACTACAAACATAGACAGTGGAGGTGATCAGTCTACTCTTGCCTTCCAGCTGCCAATATTTGATATTGTTAAACTTGTGTATTGCCATATTAAGTAGTGAATTTATTAGTGATGAAAATTAGACACATGTGCAACATCTGGGTATCTTCATTGTAGACATTTTGCTGACTAGTGGCTTTATCAGTACAATACAAGGACCTTAGTCATGAATTTATTAGTTTTATATGATTATACAGTGCACTTGAAAGACTTTTGAATGCTGTTTTATATTTTAAATTTTGGTATATTCATGGTTCCATACACAGGGCAAAGGCGAGCAGTGCATAATGAATTGGGGTGTGCTATTTGTATATGTACTAGTGGCGGCTCGTAACGCCAGGAATACCTATACATGTACTATTTGTATCTCATCAAACTTCTATTTTTAATAATTTTTTATCTCCTTTCAACAAAAAAATAAAAAATTCGCTTTTAAATACATTGAAAATAACATACAACAGATTTTTCCTGTAACATATTTGTCAATTGCAAATTATTTTAGCATAAGGTTCATGAAGTCATACATCTGGCAGTGAGCATCTAGGGGGACTGCAGCTCTGCAGCTCCTATGGACAAGCCGCCACTGATATGTACTATACAATTTATTGTACATTTTAACTTTCAGCTGCTGATTTCTGCACATCATTTTCGTATTAAACCCATTTCACTTTCCTTATGGTAAAAATTTCATGATTCTGTTCAATTTTCATAATATTTAAATTAACCCTTAAACGGTCCAAACAGATCGACGTTCAAATCCATAGTGCTCCAAAAGTAGATCTACCTTTTTTTTACATATTTTCAAATATAAAAAAAAAAAATGTAGGTAAAAGTTTTTTTACACGTTTTCAAATGTAAAACAAGAAAGATCTACATTTTTTTACATACTTTCAGATGTTGAAAAAACGTATATATACGTTTGGACCATTTAAGGGTTAAAGTACTGTAACTATTCAAAGTGAAGTGCTGCTGTCTTGCAACATTTGTATTGTATAAAACTGCATCTTTGATGCTGTGTATTGATGTATAGTACTGAATGTATTTTTTACATATATAAAATTTTAAATGGTTTCTCTTTTGTTATTTTAAAACATCCCAAGCACTAACACCTTAGATACTGTATGGTACTGCGCATAGCCATGCTTTGCAATAAGTTCTGTTGAGCAACTGTGCACCATTGAAGAACTAGCTGCATATAAATATATTTGTAATACATTTTGAAGCTTGTTATTTTCAGATATTTCCAGTTATTTCCATCAATAATTGGGGCTGTGTTGTATATAATGTCTGCATATCCATATTGTAAGTACAGTAATTAGAATACAGAGCCTCCTGATTTCCGACCTATGTGGCTTACGTCCATCTGCATGTACAACCAAAAAAGTGTGCTAAATTAGAAAAATAAATTTATTTTTAACACGTCGGCTACTTCCCACTGTATGTAAAAGAAAAAATTACCCTTGGCCATGTGTTCACCAGTGCTAACAGTTGCATGTGTATGATAGTGACCCAAATCTGGCAACAGTGCTCACCATCTCTCTCTGTAATGAAACTTGAGGGAATAAGGCAGGTTGATAAAAAAAAAAGAGATAATCATGACAAATTTATTAGGTTAAAAGAACGCTGGACGGGTATACGACTTCTACATGCCATGCTAACAATTTCGACATCCGTCCATTTTGAGATCGGACCGGTTGGTTGGAACGGAATTCGGACATAAGTCGGGGAGTATCTGTACATCATGTACTTGTTTATACTTAATCTGTATAATACATATTTCTCATATAAGTTTATATCTACTCTTGCAGGTGGCATGATGCCAGGAAGTGAGGAGCGATGGCGGGATGGGTCTGGTGCTGCTGCTGCTGCTGGAGCTCTTGGTCACCTTTTGGAACGTATGACCAATGATTTTACACCCCAGCATGATTCCCATCATTACCAACCTGGATTTGTTCCCTCTGTCACACCTCCATGGACAACATCTGGACAGACACCACTTACAAGTTTAGGGTCTCCAATGCCTCCTCTGCAAACTTCACACACTAGCCTTGTATCACAAATGTCCTCATTGCAGCCAAATCACACCAGTCTTGGGTCACAGGTGCCCTCAATGCAATCTGCACACAACAACATGGGGCCTCAGATGACTCCTTTACAATCTTCTACTACAAGTGCTTCGGGAGGACTGCCTCCACCTCCTCAACTTAGTGGGTCAGGAGCAAGAAGTTACTCTGTCAGCCAAGACCTGTTTTCAGAAGTAGATGGAGGGCGCAGTCCACTTTTAAGGTCATCTTCGGATTTAGGCCTTCGTTTGAACCATTACCATGCTCAAGGAAATCATTATAATGATGGTAGACTGGATGGATTCATGGATTCGAGCATGGACTCCTTGGATGGTATGTTGGTTGGAGGTCATGATCAGCCCTTTTACTTGGAAGTGCAAAGAGGGCCAAGTGTATCATCAGGAACTCCGCCACTTCAAGGAGATCCACAGGGTCTTACACCTTCTGCAGTACCTCATCCTGAGTTCAGCTTTTATTCCCATGAAAATGACAGAATAATGGATGGAGATAGTGTCAGCAATATTTCAGCAAAATTTTCAAATTTTACTGCCTCTTTGGGTAGTTGGTTTAGCCCTTTCGATCCATTTCGCAGCAATCTCACAGTTGCTCAGACTAAAACTCCATGTGTGTCTCAGGCTGCTGCTGTTAGTACAGGCATGAAAACTCCATTAACTAGTGAGGCCACACTGTCATCTCGGTGCACTACTAATGTCAGGAATGTGCAGGTGACAACCTCTCAACCTACAAAAACTAATAAACCTTCATATTCCGATGTACTAAGTAAGAACCCAGCACAGGAAGGTAAATTAAATACAAGTGGACCAGCAGTAAATAGTCGTAGTAGCAGTAGCAACAGCAATAGTAGCAACAGTAACATAACGAGCCATCCTCCACAGTCACCCTCCCCTGGCCCAGCAACATCCCGTCCGGAACAGAAGACTCGCTGCCAACCCGGTAGCAATGGAAAGACCAAGCCTCGTAACTCCTGCAGTGCCAGCAGTAATACTAGTAATGGTAGCAATACTGGCAGTGTTGGTCATGGCAGTAGACTAGCCAGCAAGGGGGAAAATCACATTTCCTCTTCTCGCGTTGGCTTGGATGACTTTGATTTGACCGAGGGAAACCTAAGCAACGGCAACATTAGTGCTTATGAGCATTATGACTGGGGTGAAGGCTCTACTGTAATCCTTGGAAATGGACCATCACTTTTTAAAGCATCAACCAACAGCCCAGTGCACCAAGCAAAGAAATGTACTATTAAAGGTGATTTAAGAAAAAGTGGTCTAGAGAAGACAAGCAATAGCATCTACTGTGAAGATGAACTGTTTAAAAGTAACGACCAGTTGAATAATAAAGTGATGTCTACACAGCAGAAGCAACCACCTAGGTAAGCAGTATTTAAAGCATTATTTACATGAAATTGTCACTGCATCTAGAGACTCTGAGACAAGGAAATGTATTTCACAAGTATGGGATCCCATCACGGGTGAGCAGTCTTATATCTGTTAAATGTGTTATGTGCAAAAGAGTATGTTAGACAATTAAAAGTAGGTTACTGAGTGCAAAAATAAGTGAAGCACTTCAGTAGGCCTATTGGCCCATGCTAGGCTGGTCTGATTCACACCAAACCAAGCTTACTCCTGCTTGTTCAACCTTTGTTTAAAGCTGTAGTACCTAAAGTTCTTGCCTCAATAACACTACTTGGGAGTTTGTTACACTCTTCTGCAACTCTATTGCTAAACCAGTACTTTCCTATATCCTTTCTGAATAAGAATTTGTCCAACTTGAATCCATTGCTGTGAGCCATGTCTTAGATACAGTGCCCACAAAAATAAACAGGACCTCCCCTTTATTATTAAGAAAATTGTTAAAAAACAATATAGACATTATAGAACAAAAACTGTAATACAGTGCTTGGTACTTGCACTAATATTTTTATCTCCCCTTGAAGCCATTTGGGCATGCTTTAACTCAGATTTCTGGGGTAATCATAGGATAACTTTTTGACCCAAATGTCCTTGATCTACTGCTACAGGCATGACATGGATGAAATGTGGCAGGATTCCATATTCTTTTTCATGATATTCCAGGCATTTTAAGTATGATTGAGGTTTGAACTACTCCCTGGCCACTGTAAAAACCTCACTATTTTTATCAGCAAACCACTTGGTTACTTTTTTGGCCTTGTAACAGGGGGCACTATCATGCATGAAGGTGGTGCAGCCATGAATTTAAAAAATGTTCAGTTGGCATTTGTTGTAATGTTTTGGAAAAAGAAGTACAAACCCCCATGATCAAGTAAACCACTAAAGCAACCCCAAACCATGACGGATTGTGGATGCTTTACTGTGCTCATTGTGTGTACAGGGTCATCCGTGCTGATGGAGGAGGGATGCCTCACCCTGTTTTGATGACCCTGTTTCAGAATGGGAACGACATCTGGTGGGATGACACAGGCGGCAGCAAGTAATGCCATTATGATGGACTTTGGTCATCTAGTACAATGGGCAAGTTTATTTTGATGACTTTTTCTTGTCTCCAAGCCAATATATGGGTATTTTCTTCACTATCTTTGAACGATCCATATTTATCCACTTGGCACAAAATAACATGTCACTAAATGCATCTCCAAATCCTGAGCACTTTGGGGGTAGAGCAGTGCAACAGAACACCTTATCTTACTGCTGTATGCAGGTAAATGGCAAGGTTATATATACTGCAGTCTCTTGTATTAACTCAGAGTTGGCAGATTTTTTTTTTTTTTTTTATCACACTGGCCGATTCCCACCAAGGCAGGGTGGCCCGAAAAAGAAAAACTTTCACCATCATTCACTCCATCACTGTCTTGCCAGAAGGGTGCTTTACACTACAGTTTTTAAACTGCAACATTAACACCCCTCCTTCAGAGTGCAGGCACTGTACTTCCCATCTCCAGGACTCAAGTCCGGCCTGCCGGTTTCCCTGAACCCCTTCATAAATGTTACTTTGCTCACACTCCAACAGCACGTCAAGTATTAAAAACCATTTGTCTCCATTTACTCCTATCAAACACGCTTACGCATACCTGCTGGAAGTCCAAGCCCCTCGCACACAAAACCTCCTTTACCCCCTATCTCCAACCTTTCCTAGGCCGACCCCTACCCCGCCTTCCTTCCACTACAGACTGATACACTCTTGAAGTCATTCTGTTTCGCTCCATTCTCTCTACATGTCCGAGCCACCTCAACAACCCTTCCTCAGCCCTCTGGACAACAGTTTTGGTAATCCCGCACCTCCTCCTAACTTCCAAACTACGAATTCTCTGCATTATATTCACACCACACATTGCCCTCAGACATGACATCTCCACTGCCTCCAGCCTTCTCCTCGCTGCAATATTCATCACCCATGCTTCACACCCATATAAGAGTGTTGGTAAAACTATACTCTCATACATTCCCCTCTTTGCCTCCAAGGACAAAGTTCTTTGTCTCCACAGACTCCTAAGTGCACCACTCACTCTTTTCCCCTCATCAATTCTATGATTCACCTCATCTTTCATAGACCCATCCGCTGACATGTCCAACCCAAATATCTGAATACATTCACCTCCTCCATACTCTCTCCCTCCAATCTGATATTCAATCTTTCATCACCTAATCTTTTTGTTATCCTCATAACCTTACTCTTTCCTGTATTCACCTTTAATTTTCTTCTTTTGCACACCCTAACCAAATTCATCCACCAATCTCTGCAACTTCTCTTCAGAATCTCCCAAGAGCACAGTGTCATCAGCAAAGAGCAGCTGTGACAACTCCCACTTTGTGTGTGATTCTTTATCTTTTAACTCCACGCCTCTTGCCAAGACCCTCGCATTTACTTCTCTTACAACCCCATCTATAAATATATTAAACAACCACGGTGACATCACACATCCTTGTCTAAGGCCTACTTTTACTGGGAAATAATTTCCCTCTTTCCTACATACTCTAACTTGAGCCTCACTATCCTCGTAAAAACTCTTCACTGCTTCAGTAACCTACCTCCTACACCATACACTTGCAACATCTGCCACATTGCCCCCCTATCCACCCTGTCATATGCCTTTTGACAGGGTGGATAGGGGGGCAATGTGGCAGATGTTGCAAGTGTATGGTGTAGGAGGTAGGTTACTGAAAGCAGTTGGCAGATACATCCAGAAAACATTTAGGTGAAATACTATAACATCAAATAGTCTTCTTCTTTCAACACACTGGCCGTATCCCACCGAGGCGGGGTGGCACAAAAGGAGAAATGAAAGTTTCTCCTTGTACATTTAGTAATATATATAGGAGAAGGGGTTACTAGCCACATCAAATAGTATGTATGTAATATGAATCTGGACTGTTTTATACTATTCATAATGGAGGCTGCAACACTTACACCACCCTCTGTCACAAGGCCAGGAAAGTAACCAAGTGGCTTGCTGAGAAAGATATTGAGGTTTTTACAATGACCAGGGAATAGTTCAGAACTCAGTCCTATTGAGAATGCTTCAAATATCATGAAAAAGAAGATGGAATCCTACCACATTTCATCCATGTTATGCCTGCAACAGTAGATCAAGAACATTTGAATCAATCAATTATCCATTGATTACTAAAGGAATCTGAGTGAAAGCATGCCCAAACAACTTCAAATGGTCATCAAGGTTAATGAGGGAATATAAATGTAAGTATCAAGCATTACAATTTTTGTTCTCTTCATATTGTTGCTTTTTAATTATTTTCACAATAAAGGGAAGGTCCGGATTATTTTTGAAGGCACTGTTTTTTCAGCATTTTATTTGTATCCCTTTTTCTAGTTTTCTATTTGTTTGTCAATCATAGCCCCCCCCCCTCCCCTCCCCTAATTGTATCCTTCTTCCAGAATGCAAATTCATTGCCTTCAGCTTGCCTTTGTAAAAAAAAAAGTTTCTGATACAAGGGACCAACTTTGTCATTATTCTCTTTACCTTTTCCAATGAGTTTGTTTGTTCTGCAATATGGATGCCTAAACTGAGCAGCCTAATCTGATCAAGGCCTTACCAATGATATATGTAGTTCAAGTATATCTTTAGGATTCTGTTATTTTTTGACATGAGCCAAGAATTAATTCTATTAGCTTTATTACTAACACTTATGCACTGCTGTCTTGACTTTAAATTTTTGCTAACCAGAACACCAAGACTAAGCTCGACATTATTGAGGTTGTAAGTACCATAATTATTTTGTTTTCCAGGGATTAGAACCTTAACCCGTTAACTCTTGAAACGTAGATCTACGTTCGCTCGCCCAGTGCTCCAAATATTTTGAAAAAAAAAAAAAAAATGATTTTCTTTTTTAAATTAAAGAGGGCAATTTTCTGTGTGTAATAAGAAAAAAGAAATTTTTGACCAGTACTTACTGAGATATGAGACGTTGAAGTTGGTGCTGGATGCTCACCTGACGGCAACATGGAGTCCTGTCACATGCAGAAGTGTTGCCAGTATACCTTTTTCTCTGGTTTTTATATTTTGTATAGTTTTTATGTTCTGATAATTACAATTTATAGTAGTTCTTGTGATTTCATAGCCACTTTTTGTTCTGGCACTAATATTAGGTACTGAAATTCTACTCAGATAGTCACAAACACACTGACAGGTCAACATTTACACCTGCCTTGGTCATTTATTATTGTCTAGGAATATATACAAAGTATTTATAGGTCCCAACAATGTTTTAGACACGCTGGAGTATATATGAAACTAATTGAAGCATGATGTTAAGACGACTGTCACTAAATTGCTGACAGGGTAAGCAGTGGCATGACACAAGATCGTGCACTGCTGCATGGAACCCTGGCTTTGTTTGTCTGTCTGCCTAGCTATATCTGCTTCTCTTTCTGCCTGCCTGTGTGTGTTTCTTTCTGACTGCCTGTGTGTGTGTGTCTTTCTGTCTGTTGTGTGTGTGTGTGTGTGTGTGTGTGTCTCTCTCTTTCTGCCTGGCTTTGTGTCTGTCTTCTTGTCTCTCTTGTCTCAGAGTTGCTCATGAACCAACAGGTATTACACGTGATGCAGAGTCCCCGTCTGATTCTTGAACAATTGAAAATGCATATTACTTGCCAGTCATGTTTATTATGCATTATATTATCTACAAGCACATTATAGCACTTTGGATTTTTTGGGTTCTCCTAGGTAATTTACACTATGTATAATTGTATTTACGTATGTGTACCTTTGAGATAGAGACAGATAGACAGAGACAGAAGAGATACAGAGACAGATACAGACAGACAGATAAACAGGGATAGAGACAACCAGTCAGCCAGCTGCCAACCAGCCAGCCTGCCGAACATGTATTACACATTTGAGAATTGTTTCTTTTTGCTAAGGGCATAGGTTATAGGACA